ACTAGATCACGAACTTTGAATCCCCACACGAGGTTAGCCTTACAAGAACTGACCACATCAGACTAAAGGCAAAAACTGATTATTGGCTACACTAAAAACAGTGGAAGAAGGCTGAAAGAAGATTCAACGACTAAACCAAGGCTAAACGAAGAAATACCCAACCTCAACAAGCAATTACAGCCACACAAACTGACCATTAGCAAAGGTCACCCAAACTAATTAGAATCGGAATAACAACGCAAACTAAACAACTACCCCAAGCACAGCTGAGCTCAAACAGGGGAAGCTAAATCTCAACAGAGAGAACCGAAAGTCTCAACAAAGGGAGCAAAAGACCAGACTTAAACAAAAACATAAGGCAGTTTGACCCATCCTAGAACCAACAAGACAAAAACCAATACCTTAAAGAAGATTGACAAGATCAAACGAAATCAGGAACTACAGCAAAGACAGAGACCTAACTAACCCCTTAGCCCACCAGGTCCACCCTAACATCGTCGCCACGCACAGTCCCGATATTCACCAAAGCCCCCACTCCGAACACAACCTCTTCGCGGACCAACAACTCAAACACCATCGAAAGAGAAGGCAGGAGAAAGGAATGGCCTGGAGACCTCCGAGAACCTCAGCCGAGCACGGAGATGCCATGGACGAGCTACCGTGAAAAGCAGATCTGAGCACTCCTCACTGTCAACGAAACCTAAAATCAATGGCGCGTTGATCAACACCGCAAGGGTCATTGGCAAGCTAGAGAAGAAAACAAGCTTTTATATATAAAGAGTCTTACGACGCCGGCAAAGACGCGTCGGACGTCGGAGAAAACGATCTGTCTCTTTATTTTCTTTTTTTTTCCTCTGGTTTCTTCGTTCAGGAGAGATTTGGACCGATTCAAGATTTTTACATGATCTTTCTCCGTACTTTTTTCTTTTGGCCAAAAATTAAATCTTTTTTTTTGTTTGTTTGTCAAGATATTATATCTTTCAAAACTGCATTATAAAGGCAAAAGAATTGCACATCTTGATCACTCCGTAA